TGGAGAATGCTGGGATTATTTTCAACGGCCCACTACAAGTCGCTAGTGATAGAGAGGGATTGAACGTGCTGATTTGCGGAGGTAGTCCATGTCGCAATGCAGCACTGCACCCGAGAAGGAGACGATCACTTGGATGTTGGTCAATGCAGTTGGCGTCGTGAGCAGTCGCGGTGCGAGGTACGGAAGCACCTCGCGCGATTTGACCTTGAGCACCCTTGGACGAGGTCGTCCACCGATGGGATACGATTGAGGGGGCGTGGAGTGAGCTCGTCGAGCGGTAGCCCATAATCTTGTGGATGACAACAAATGCATCACCAGCCGCGTGGCGGACCTCGGGCAGTGCGTGGCAAAGAGGGTCTTCGACGACAAATCTCTCGACGAAATCTTTGAGCTGTTTCTTAGGCGAGCACAGGATGACCTCGACAAGACCCAAGCAGTAGCCCTGACGCATGCCGGCGGGGTTCATCGAGTCGACGCCCGCGCGCAGGATCGGGCCGACCTCGGCCGTAACGTAGTACACCAATTCGCCAAGGAGCGAGATCGACGACTGACGAATGCGCCAGTTGTCGTAGAAGATACCATGAGGTTGCTCAAGCGGAGCGCTTCGCTCATGCCGTCTCCACCAAACTCGAGTAGCGTCGCAATAGCACACTGTGCGCCCAAAGGTGCGATGCGGCGTGAAGCTTGGCCTCGAGGTACGCATCCGTGAGACCCGGCGCCGCGTGTAAAGGTCGTCGACGTGGTCGCGCACAATCTCATCGACTTTGGGCGCCTTCGATGCGGCGACGCGAGGTCGACACGAACCGATCCTTGAGGCGCGTCCACGAGCTCACAATGGCATACTTGCGCGCGCCGTGCACGTCAAGCGGGTGGTGCGACCACGAGAAGGCGCGGAAAAAGCGCAAAAATCCCGAGCTCGTGTGTCTCGGGCAAACACGGAACCTAGTCAATCTGTGAGACCCAAGTAGCGCTAAAGACGTGTGCTACCCTGTGCCAAACGCGAGCGAGCGCAGCGACGACGCCTTGGAGAACAATGTTAGTGCCAAGCACGACGAGGACCATAGGCGCACGGCCACTGTAGGTGGCTGCTGAGAGCTGTAAGCTCTGCTCAATTGAAATCGAGTAGAGAGCGTATCTGACGCGCCGCCGAGCAAGAGGTTCGCGCCAGCAGTCTCGGTGCTGGCTGCCGTGCGCAAGCAGCAGGGCGTCACGCGTGAGGCGCTCGAGATGAGTGCCGCTTGCCTCTACTTTGAGAGATGATGAGCGCGCTCCGAACGCGACGCCGCGCGCGCAGCGCCCAATGCTACGGCGGCGTTTCTCGTCTCGTCGCGGCGCCCATTTTGATGTATTTGTATTGCCCTTCCTCTTGGTGTCCGGCTATTTATCCGGATGCCTTGAAACGACGCCACGAGCGCGACACGGTCGAGGCCATCACTCCTCGCACAAACGCTCGAGGTTGTCGCCGTCAGCGTTTGTTTCGGCGAATGGACTATATATCTCGCAGCGTGTAGACCCCCAACATCAAAGCAACG